AAAAAAAAGTTAAAGCAACTCTGACTAGATTCAATTCAATGAAATAAGCATTTAAGTTCCTACTATGTGCAAGGCACTGTGCTAGGCTCTGGGTTTACAAAAACCAATAGTGAAAATAGTCCTTTCCTTGAAAGAGCATAGCAGAAAGCAGTCATGAAAAGAGCTGAGAATAATGAAAGATCAGAAGATTACTCCTTATGTGCTATGAATGTGCAAGCTGTTGAGAAAAAAGGAGTGTTCTTGTTGGGTGGGAATGTCTCTAAGAGGTGAGCTACTTCATATGAAAACCAAAGAGCCTAAGTGGAGTGTAACCTAAGTGGAGACGAGGTGAGGTACAAGAATACCAGTGGCAGTATCAGAGCTGGAGAGCTGCGAGACAGTGACAGCAGAAAAAGATGGCGGCCGGAAAAGAGAGACAGGTTAACACAGCTCAGTGTTGGCTTCCTGGGGAGCAAAGTTGTTGTTGACTCATTTCAGTCACGCCCAGCTCTCCGTGACCCCATTTGGAGTTTTCTTGGCAAAGATACTGAAGGAGTTTTCCATTTCCTTCTCCAGTTTATTTTACAGATGAGGAAACTGAGGCAAACAAAGTTAAGCAACTTGCCCAGGTTCACACAACTTTGAACTCAGGAACAGGAGTCTTCCTGATTCCAAGCCCATCGAGCTGTCCCTTAGGGAGCCAAGAGTGCCTTATATTACAGTAGCTCTCCAGTAGTCTACTCTCTGTGTCTTGGGGTTGGAGAAGGAAGAAGGGTTTCACCACACTTTGAAGTTCCAGTTCTTAAAGGGTAAACTCTTAGTTCTCCAGAATTTTCTCATACCCAGAACTAATCATTCCACAGCCATGCCAGTTTATCAAGGCTTTACTGTATATCACATTTCAACAGGAAAGTCTGTATTATAGATTGACCTCTCATACCATGTCTAGCTGAAGCTCTCATGCTACATGCCTTTGTAATCAGCTTGTCTTATGTATGAATGATTCTAGGTACCAAAAATGAATCAAACATTTGACAGAAGAGGGTTAGAAAATGCAGTGGACACAAGAGGCTCCTTTTCGTCAGGAATTTCCTTCAGCTTTTGGGATTCCTTAAAATTCTCTCTATGGCTGTGTCACGTCCTGGCATAGACTTCTAGACTCCCAGAGTGTTAGAGGCAGAAGGAACTTTGGAGATACACTTAGTACTCCCTTCATCTTCCATTTGAGGCAACGGAGCTAGAGACGCAGTCACTCACCTGGTATGGTCACATAGTACTAAGTTCTAGAGCAGGACCCCGTCCAGCGCTCTTTGCCCAGCAGTTGTAACTAGTTTTTTTGTTTTGTTTTGTTTTGTTTTGTTTTGGGTTTTTTTTGCTATTTTTGCACTGAGAATAGGTGAAAAGTTAAGGAAAATAACCTGATTTTGTGCTATTGTGACAAATCGATTCATGTAAGAACTGCCATCCACATGACTTCCCATGAGTTCTGCTGAAACATTACCACACAGGTGCCTGACAAATGCTTCTGGGATTGAACCTAACATTGAGTGGTGACACAAAGGTGTCAAACACACAGCCTGCAGGCCCTGTGTGACCCACGACACTTCTGAGTAAGGCCTGAACCAGGTTAACATGTAACTGGGAAATATTTAACAAAATAAATAAATACAAACAATGGAGATAGTGTTAATTTGTGGTTTTCTAAGTCAATATGTTGCCTACAGAGATCAGTTTCTGTTTGAGCTTGGCATCAAACTAGAATGTTCTAGAATGTATCCAAATGTACAAAGAAGCTCATCATTCCCACATGGTAACTGGATCCTTCACTACTTTACTCATTTCTGTATGAGTAACTAATAATTGTTAGCTTTTTGAATCAATCCATTTAAAAAATGAGGCATACAAAATTTAAGATATCATTTGCTTGAGTGACTAATATGACCTTTGAAAATACCCATTTTGCACAGGTCACTCAAGTTGTTTTGCCAAATGGAATGCCTCTGGAGTGGAATATTAAAAAAAAAAAGGATTAAAAATAAAGGCTTTCACAAGGAGCTGATCTCTCCCTCTCCCCCACCACCTGCCTCTCTCCCTCTCCTTCTCCCTCTCCCTCCTTCCTTCTTTCTTTTTTCTCTCCCTCTCTCAGCTTTCCTTCCTCCAAGCCTACCAATGACTGAGAACACAGTAGGAAGGAACAAAAGCAAAAGCAGAGGCAATCTTGTCTCGGTACCCTGCACAGCTCTTCTCCCTTGGTGAATTCTGGTGATGCAGACGCCTTGTTTCCCCCTATAGGCAACTAGAATAGGTACCAGACCCTACACAGGGGACCAGATTCTCAAGCCATTTCAGATTTCCAGGAAAAACATTATAAAAGTACTAGTTTTTAGATAATAATGGCAGCCCACCTGATTTAAACATCGTATGCCTTCAGTATGTTTGAATATACTTTATCTGGTCACATATTAGATGCCCACTGTGCCAGTAGCTACTGAGTCATCCTTGATTTCTGAGACATACTCCTGAATCTGTAATTCATACACATGAAAGCCAAGTGCATTCACCTACAAGGGCCTTGACAGAAAAGAGAGATTGTTTTCAATGCTTGAATTTGAGGCATCATGGTTCATCAGGCCTTCTCCCTGGATGACTTCGCTCCTTCCCACCCCTTCCTATCAAAATCTTCCCCATCAATCAAAGCCTATCTCAAATCCCACCTCTTGCAGGAAGACTTCCCTGATTACTCTGGACAAAAATGACCACTCACTCCACTAAATTCAAGATCATAGATTTAAACCTGGAAGTGGCCTTAGAGGTCATCTAAGCTAATTCTTTTATAAATGAGGAAACTGAGACCCAGAGAAGTTCAGTAACTTGCCTAAGATCAAACAGATGGCATGTAGGTGACTTGGGATTCAAATCCAGTCTCTCTGATGCCAAATGTGGCACTGTCACCACTGTAACATGCCTTAATTTGCATTTCCTCTCTCTCCCACTCACGGTACATACTGCACGAGATATCAATTATTTGTATACGTAATTTATTTCCCCACTCAGATTATAAACTACTGGAAGGTAGGAACTATGTCTGATACAACTCTCCACCGCTTACGTCCCAATTCATAGCTCCCAGCAGAATGCCTTGCAGCAGGTTTATCATATAAATTCATGTGCTTGGAAGCAATAATTTGGTGGACCATTGTAATGGAAAATTTCATCTCAACCTAGTGCTGTCCTGTATCCCTCCTGAGCAGCCAATGTTCTTTAGCACTGGGGTGAAAGTGAAAGAGAAAGGGGCTGGATTCCAGCTGGGTACACAAAACAAGTGATTAGTCAATTAATATGTAGAGATCACCTGGAATAGCATTTATTTCCCCCCAGGTTTTCTTTCAGCCAGATGCAGAGCATGCAGTGTGGATTGTTCCAATGGCTCATTATTTCTAACACTTAAATATAGTCTGTGGAAAACCTCTTAGACTAAAACTAACATTTCCTATTCACTGTTTGTCAGGTTTTGACTTCAAATCAATGTGTAATGAAAAATGTCTAAAATAATCCCAAAGCAGCATGCGTTGGTATGCTAATAGTTCTGCCATTTGGAATTTGTTAAGTTTATAGGCTTAGGTTCAAACCAGAAATTGTGTCTCAAAAAATCTTAACTTTTCTCAAGTTTTTGAAGATGTCCATTGTCTGAATGGGAAATCAAATATTGTGCCAAGTGAGGCTTTCTAGTATTAAGGCATTTCCTAGACCTTGTGCTTTGGACTTCACAAAAACAGGCAATTTTTTTTTTCAACAAGTCAAGTGGTACTAGCATGTAGAAAGGATAGAAGACCCTTAGCTATGAGAAATCCCAACTGAGTCATCTCTGCCAAATAAGAGGCCTGAGAGTTTGTATAAATAAGGGAAGAGAAAGCACCTACCAAGTTGAATTCAACTCCATTTTATAGATATCCCAAAAGCTGGATGCATGATGGTTTTGCAAACTGTGGCTTCCATTGTTGCATGCATGAGTTCCTCGTAGTGTCTAAAAATAAGTCAGAGAAGTTCTGGAAAGATAACGTTATCACTGCTTAGCTTCATATGAGCTTTTATATCATAAAGTCTTTGAAATTTGACATTCACATCCTAAAAAAATAGATTGGCAACCCTACCTTTTTTTAAATGAGTATTTTCTACAAGAATTGTCCATCCATGCATTTGCTTTAAATTGGTATACTTTGTATGTAGTTTGTAGATAGCAAATAGAACTGTTTGGTTGACCTTGGCCATGTCCGTATGAAAGTAAGACATTTGGATTGTAAGTACAATATTTCTTCCGTCATCTACATGTCTCCAAATGCCTGGATGCTTGGCTTCATGGAAACAAAATATTGAGTGATGGAGTGAATTTTTCCAGTTTTGTTTGTCTTTTGTTGTCATATAGGCTCAGAGTTTGTCAGAGGAAGTGGTATTATCAAGTCCCAAGCCAATAAATGTGTTTTAAGGGCTCAAAATTAGTTTGCAACAGCAAAAATGTATATTTCTGGATTGTTTAAATTGTGTCAAAATTCAACGCACACTTGTCAACAACCCACTTATAGTTTGAATCTAAAGATGAATAATAAAGCTAATCACACAATAAAGCTGAAAACAATCCTTAGAGGAATTTCTGTGTTGTCTACCCAACTAAATGGAAACAGAGACAGCATATGAAAGTCTCTTAGCAGTATTTAAATCATAGTTAGTTGTTTAATCAAGAACCCACCTAACTGTATTCCAGTTCAATTATGTTCAGCTTTTTGATATTCTTTGAGAAGTACAGAAGTTCAGTTTGACTAGCACCCTCTTCTGAGAACTCATTTGTTCTTCAGTTGATACAATGTGGTTTTTGTGTTTGTTCCCTCAGAGTAAAAGTCAGGGCTCCTTTTGATGACCTTGCTTTCCTGTCTGTCATTCACGTCCTCATATTGATCAGGAAGTGAAGATTTCAGTCTCCCTGGTAGCTTAAGACTAACCGTGAACTTCTCTTTCTTTTTTTGCAGAGAGGTGGAGACAACATCCGTGGAGATTCTGACAGGTAAATTGTGCGTGCTCTTTTTGTGTAACTACCTCAGTCTCCCTCATACCATCACATAAGTGAATGGTTCACCTTCTCAGAGGAATCGAATTTGTTTGTGCAGAGGTGCCCTGTATTTTTTAGTTAAAAGAACATTCGTATCACCTAGTATAAGCCTAAAGATTTCATCTAGGAATTGCATTAGAGAATTTGAAAAGAATCTCTATTTCTTATGTTTTCTTGAATTTTATCTTGGTCAAAAGGAATGGCTTTTAAAAAGATGAAAATAAATTCAAACTGCGTTTCTAATTGACTTCGTGTTGGATGAAAGGTAGAAAATTCATACAATGGAAATAATTTCTTACAAACAGCTTTTGGAAATGATAGAACCATCTTCCAAAATGATATTCATCTTTTTAAAGTACTGTAATCAAGAAAAAGCAGTCAATGTCCAACAGCTAGCAAGGATCTACTATGATATAGCTTTTTTTCCAACTCAGCCAATAGTTTTCATTTGAGAAGATAATTCATCTATTTTATTCCAAGCAACAAAGCTGCCTCTGCAGTCCTTCACAAAAATCACATGCCAGGACATTTGCTGCCAATTTGTCTTTGTGTGGGGCTGATTCAGTCCGGGTTCCACTGAGGCAAAAAGAAAACAGTTAGTATCAGATTCTTCCATGTCAGTAAGTGAATAGCTGAAATGTGGTCTATGGCTAAGATCCTAGCTGGCAAAAATGGATTCTCCTCAGGCCTTTGGAGAAAAGGTAGTTACAATCTTCTCAGGACATAAAAGGGGATTTTCAGGCAAAGAGAAACCAATTTTGAGAGTGAGAGTTGTCATGGAATCTTCTCAGGTAAACGTGGTCTTAGGCAGAGCAAAGTTCCTCAAGGTGAAACAAGTTGAAATGCTCGAACTCCATTTCTTTGTTCTTTTATTAACTTAACAGCAGGGTTTCTTTCCTGCCCTTTCATTTTTACAGCATCTTAAACAACACGGTGTCTCTCTTCCTTATTCCTTTCTGCCACCCAATTTGTGTGTTTCTCATAATATGAATCTCAGTGTGTATTCTGAATTAACAAACGTCACTTGTGCAAAACGAGTAGTATATCCTGTGATGGGACAATGTAATGGAAACAATTATGGTAATGATCATTCTTTTCCTGAGGATAAAATGAACTTGTTATTTCAATTGCGCAAACATACACAAGTTCATTGATAGCAAGTCTGAGGACATATTTCACATACTCTTAATGCAGCTTTGGTTCCCTCTTTTAAAGATGGGCAAAGGGTCCAGTGGTGTTCCTTCAATTTGGAGCTGACCCCCAGCCTTGGCAGCCTCCAGCTCTGGTGAGCCTCCCTGGCCTTATGGCCTTACCTAAGAGCTGCGAGAGAACAGGTTGCCTGATGGTGGCCAGCACCAGAAGTAGATTAATGAGCGTGGGAGGCTCAAGTGCTCTCTGTCCAGCACTACTTGGGAAACAGCCCCATGGCCTGATTTCAAACCACAATCCCAGGACTTTGTGGCAACTTGCAAAGGACTCTGGCTGCATTCCTGCTAGTGCTTAAGGATTGTGAGAGATTCTGAGAGTTGCTAGTCAAATGGATGGTTTGTTTGCCCTCTATTGAGCTCCTCTGCCTGGCTTTCAAGGCCTTCTGTACTCTGGTTGGTCTCTTTCTACCTATAAAAATGTGTTTCTTTTTCTTCCCCAACACATAGCCTCCATCCCAGTAACACAGGGCTGCTTCTGCTCATTTCTAGCTTACACCTTTGCTCAAGCCAAATGCCTTCTCCTCCTCCCTCCACTTACCCAAATAATACCAGCCTCATGTTCTAGCTTCTATGTGAAGCTACCCAAACTCTTTCCATCCCCACTGGCTCCTCGACTCTTATTGCACTGAAGAGTCACTGCCTCATAGTTTACATCAATATTTTGACAAATGATGTGATCTTGTCAATGGGAGTAGTGAAGCATGCTCATCTCTTCCCCTTCTCTGGTGCCATTTTTATCTGTGTCCTACCACAAATCCTCCACAGATTCTCCACCTGTTGTACTGTGGGCCTTCCTCTAGTTCTCTTGTCATTGGATAGATACCAATGGAGTACATGGGCCATCCGTGTTACAGCGTATTCACATTAATCATGTGCCTCTGCATTACCCATCGCGTGATTCTCAACCTTATTTCTTTGGAGATTACTACTCCATGGCTGGCAGCTACAAGGTATTGCTAAAAGAATGTGGGTGTTAGAAAGATAGGCCTTTGTTCCAGGGAGAAGTGTGGGGTCAATCCAGCCCCGTCTTCTATTCAGAGCCCACAGTTTAGCACCAAAATATTACCTATGAGGTGTTCGTTGGGTTTGCCTAAGTAGAACTTAAGCTCCCAATGGTCAGCAACAATATCTTGCTGTTTTGTGTCCCACACAGAGCTGAGCAATGCATTGGATCTTAATAAATACTTGCCAATAGAATGATTTCTGCTGCCTTGGCAGCACACTGAGAAAGCATTCACTGATAGAGAAAGCAGAAATCTACATTAAAGACGGCCACATTGGGAGACTAACTGATATAGTGTGACATCAGTATGATGGGAAGTTCTGGGCAAGCCAGTGGTCCACACTGGTAGTCACATATAACTGATTAGATGGCTATGGCTCTCAGGCCTTCTACACTAGATACATCCAGGGTTGTTTTTCTTTTTTATGTTTTGAACAGCTTGTCCTATTTAGCACAGACTCTGGGGTTCACTCTCCCAAGCCCAACTTGTGCTATCTGGTTGAGTCCTCAGAGTGGGTTTGGGAAATTCCATAGTCCCAATTCCTGAATAGCTCTCTAGTGACTTGTTGAGGTTCTACATTAACAGGGCTTTAGAAGGTCCTTCCCTCTTGGAACAACTTCCACCAGTAAGGCGAGGTTCTAAACTGGCTCACTATTATATTACAAAAACACAGGATGTGACAAAATCTCTCCAGCCAATCCTAATATATTTCCTATGTAGAACCATTTCATTTCATCCAATGGCTTTCACTCCTTCAAAATTGACTGAGAGCTTTTTGCACCTAGTTTAGTGCCTTTGGTTAATTGTCTGAGTCAATAAATATGTGCTCAACTAATAAAAGTATCAGAGTTGGAGCATCTTGTTAGTTATATGGGGTGGGGAGATTAATTCAGTCAATTCCCACATTTGCACTCTGTATCACATTCAATATCGAATTTTATTACCATGGATTGATGCAAAAAATCCAACCAAATTAAAGATAAAACATCATTTGACACCTTGATGTGATACCTAATCAAATTAAAGACCACTAGGTTCTCACTGTGTTGCTATGATAAATTTTTTTTTTAAAGACCAATGTTTGACCCGGAAGAGGATGCAGAAAACAAAAGAGAACTTTCCCTTGTGTTTGGAAAACTTGCAAGATTAAAGGACTGATATATATGTTAAAACTCTTAAGTCAACCTGATAATTGAATCATGGACAAAAATAATGACTGAACCCAAATCTTAGTATCAAGGGCATTTGCAAAAGTTTTATTAGCTAGGATGTTAGGCTATTCTAGACCAGATTATTTCCTTACCCAAAGACAAACTTCCACAATCTTGAAAGAAAGAAAAAAAAAAGACACTGTCAGGTCCCTTAATCTTTCTTTCCTCTCAAGAGCGCAGACCTGTTTGAGTAGAGTTGTTTATCAAGGACAAGGCATACAGCTGAAGAACACTACCTTTCAAAGTTAGCAAAGACATTTCGAAATATCACTGTATGCTCTTGAACTGACCTTGACTGTTTTCAATGTCTAAAATGATACCTGAGTGACCTGTAGCAAGATATTAAATAGAAGGTGAATTTCTCTCTTGCCTGAAATGGCAAAAGAATGTTTTTCCTTAAAAATGACAGCAACGGTAACAAAAACAGCATTGGAATTTCTATAGCGACAGGGGAAAGGAAAGTCTGTCTTGGAACCAATACAAAATTTACTAAGAATGGAATTGTACAACTTTTCCTTTCCTAACCTTATATCTCCCTAATCTAGTACTCTCATTTATTTCACTTAGTACTGGTTTAATTTTCATATATCTAAAAGAAAAAAGGGTACACATTACCTTTGCCTACAAGGTAAATTAGGAACTAGCATTTTCTCAACAGTCCGGTTAATAGAGAAGAGATAAGGACCTGATTCATGAATTGCTATTGAACTAAGGCCCTCATCTATGAAAGGAGACATGATTGACATTTAGTTGTGTACTATTTGCTATAACTTAAAAGGATTGAGTTTGCAAGCTCAGTCCTGAAGATGTTACATCTAGTGGGGGGGGGCGGGGAGGGTGAGGAACCTACAGCCTCGAGGCCATACATGGCCTTCTAGGCCCTCGGGTGCTGCCTTTTGACTGAGTCCAAGTTTTACAGAACAAATCCTTTTATTAATGGGGTTTGTTCAGTGAAGTTCAGATTCAGTCAAAGGGCTGCACTTGAGGACCTAGAGGGTCTCATGTGGCCTCGAGGCCACAGGTTTCCCACCCCTGACAATATCTTCATTTTACCAAACTTAACCAGAGTGGCTAAGTTGCTTGCCTAAGGTATGGGGCAGGATCAGGACAGGAATGTAGGCCCTCGAACTCCAAATCCAATCCTTTTTCAGCCTTATTGTACTACCTCTTCAGCTTCCCCCACCCAAGAAGTATTCCCAATGGCCTGATGTTTGAAATTGGCTGACAATTTAAACCTATTGGTCAGGTTGATTTATTATTTATTTTCCCTCATCAGGTGCACTCTGCTATAGATTATCTTCTGAAAGGGCTCGTGGTTACTGGCATCTCAGTCAATACCAGAACAAAACTTGTTAATAGACGCTATACCTAAAATGAATGGAAATAGACCATGTTTTAAGCACAAACTCAACATGGTTCCACCATAGTTCAAACTAGCCTTGAAGGCAGGAACCCATGTACCCCTTTAATTTCCCACAGTTCTAGCCCCGCTTGGAGCAGATGGTTAAGTGCTCCATAAATATTTTTTGAAT